ATAAAGTGTGTGCTGTTCATTTAAAACACAGAGAAGACAGGTTCAGTATTCATAGGCTATGTAAGTGTTTTCTTACCCGTGTCTGTCCAGTGTGATAAAGAAAAAAAATCCTTGCAAATTAAAATTGAGAAAACTGAATTAATGATTATTGGAAGATAAATTCCTATGAGGAAGTAGATTACTTTTCTTTTCAGAGTTATTATATGCTATGATTAAAAAATTAGTTGGGACCAAATGTCTGTACATTAATCTTTATTTCTATAGCATCTTACAGAGGAAACAACAGAAGTCTATCTGAGCATCTTAGTTGATGGAAAGTTTTTGTAGTTCTGGTTGAACTCAGTTCTTTGATCACACACTGATAAATAAGAAAATAAACAGCAACTGGTACGGCATGCTGTGTCTATGGAAAAGGACAACACAAGGGATTGCCTGTTACATATTCCTGTGTGCTCTCTGTTCATTCTGTGCATTATTCCAACCGTTGTCTGTTCTCCAGCAGCCTTTCTGAAAAGCTGTTTTTCCTGTGTGCTCCCAAACCCCATATACACATGAACTCTTTTGCAGAAACAAGATGTGACCCCAGAGTACTCCTGCTCATAGTAGTCAGGAAGCTGGCATGCCTGAAGAGCAGAACACGTGTGCACCTCTGTGGCTGTTCAGTTCACCGAAATAGAAACCAGACTTACTGGAGTAAAGGGGGTTGAGGAGCATCTGTAAGTTGGTGGGTTTGGGTCAATTGATACTGGATTTGGCTGCAGCAGAAAAGCCTGTGGGACTCCAGGTGAATCATGTTTCCTGGACACTGAGGTGTATGTTGAAAGTTAGTTTTGAGATTATTTATCTGAATGTAAAGGAGTATCTGACACCAGCTAGGGACTTACAGTAGTAGGAGTGACACAGGCTATAGTTTTAAGTCTACTGAAATTCAGATTTTCTTGGCCACTGTAGTCTGCTTGAATGCGCCAAATCGTGAGTAACTTGATGCCTTATGCACACAGGGGCAAGAGAGCGATTTGTGAGAGTATCCAGAAGTGTTTGCTATTAGATCTGAGTACCTTGACGGTCTTGGGAAAAATGCATCCTGAAATGATTCCCCTGAATATAAGGGGAATATAAGTCATTGCTAATTTAACTCTTATCTCCAACTATTCGTAAAAACTGCATGACTGTTTTTGTAGCTGTGGATAAACCCTAGTATGGTAAAGTTTTAAGAGTGTTGGCAGTCACAGAACAGGAGGAGAACTAGCAACTTCTCCATGCTGTTCGGGGCGTGGATGATAACTGGACTGCGATGTTGGCAGGTACCCCTAGCTCTTTTGTACCTGCTTCACCATGTATTATTAGTTACTATTTTCTCGTGGGCTTTGCCACTAGTGTCTCTTGCTGTACAAACTGGAAGAGGTTAGGGAAGCAAAACTACTTTTAATACACACAGTGAATCTCAACTGCTGTGAGATGTCTGTAAAAGAGCAGGTCCCGTATGAAGGGGCAGCACTTTACCATGTATAGATGTTGCTAGCTATAACGGGTATGGCTTTGTAGACTTGAAAGCAGGAATATAAGTGGTATTTTTTAGGGGAAGAGGTGTGTGTATATCACAGAAGATGGGGAGTAAGACTTTTTAAAGGTGATGCGTATCGTACTTAAATGTGTTGAAATGATGACTCGTTATAAATTGTGTATGACCGGACTTTGGTGTAAGTAAAGGAACTAGTAGTAAAGGCGATCCTTTTGGCAGCTAACTAATTGGGAGGTATTGCTGATCAATTTTTCTGCTTGACCTGTTGAGAATAAGGTACAGCTGTTTTGATGATATAGCTATGATCCTTAGATTGCTTGCTGCAGACATGTCTGGTTTTGCCTTTTGTGTTAAGGACAGACACAAATGTGTGAATTTACCCACTATCTCGTAACCATACGAACATTGGCTCTTACCTTATTGACTAGGGCTTCATTGGCAAGATCTTGGATCAGCTGACTACAAAACTGAGTATGACTGTAGTCAGCTGACTGCAACATTGAGGTGCTGATCAACTGAGAGGGATTCAGCTCTGTTTGTGGGCATACTTGCATTCACCTCTAAAAATTCAGTCCTTGACTTACCATCTATAAAATGGCAAGTAAAGGCTGCTGATTGAGAAGACATATAGCATAAAGTTAATAGAAGAAAATACATCAGGCAGGGAAACCAAGAGTAACGTCTGAAGTAGAAGGCTGAAAAGTAAAAAAGTGTTTAAAGCCTAGCCTTTAATAGTAATTTAAAAAAAACTACAGTTATGTTAGTCAAATAGCTGAAACAGTTATTGCAGAGCTTTTGTAAGTAGGGGATGATGATGTCTGTGTGCTTTTTTGTGGAGGAGGGGAGAGAGAAGAGGGGGTCTAATCTTTTAGCTTTTCCTACTCCTGTCCTTCCTTGCTTTGGAAAAGGTTAGAGTTTTAATTTCAGATCCTGCATGTATCTCTCTGTTGGGTGGATTCTTGTACCTCCAAAACCCCATTTCAGAGTGTTTGTTTGACCAGGTTATGGCATTGCTGCTTGATTAAAGCCCTTTTGCACTGTACACCAAAGCATATTGTGAATATTGCTTAAAATACTGACCCCTCCTGCTCCCTCCTTGCCAAAAGAAAATGGCGAAAACATGTGCAATTTGGTCCACACACCTCACTGAAAGGTTAAATTTACAAATAAGTTAACCAGGATTTCAAGGTTAAAATTCTTCTCTACCCCATTTTTGGTTATCTTATGGTCTTAATGTATACTAAAATGCATTCAAAATGTATTTGGTACCCCCAAATTAGTGGTATGATTGGTACTTCTACATTATGCCTAAACAGCACTTGCTGAAGCACAGTCCTGAAGGAAAGCAAAACAACTGCTTACCCCCAAGAAAACCTCAAAAAAAAAATTCCTCATTGTATTTTCTGAATGCTGTTTTATGTGCAGACACAAAGGGAGTATTTTGAAGAAACAGCAGAAAATATTGACCAAGTCAAAGATCTGTACTGAAGAATGGATTAAATAAATGTTTGTGAGTCGTAAGAACCGAACAACAAAAATATTTTTCTTTCCAGAAACATTCCATCCTATTTTGATCATCAACAATAAAGCTGAAAACAACAATGAAGCTATTGAATCTGGAATGCCAATTGCTATCCAAGATAAATGACAGTATAACTAAATAATGCAAATGTCTTTGTAATAAAAAGAAAAAAAAAAGAAAGCTGTTGTAATTTAATTATCTGGAATGTTAGTATTCCAGATGTGTTCTAAACTCAAAGGTAATTTTTTAAAACTTGAATTTCAAAATAAGAGAGTAAGTTCTGTTGTCCAAACAGGAATGTGTGATAAGTAACTTAGGGAGTTTTAATAGAAACTTCAAGTCTTAATAGAAATTGAATTGCTTCAATTTAACACTGCAGGATAGATACTAAGATGTTCCATAGATTCTTGAAATACTATTATTAAGCTTGACATGCTGGAGAATATCTTGTGTTAGGTAGACTCAAGATTGAATCCCAAAGGTACATCTTAAACTGTATAATCAAATTCCCATTTCAATGTCACTTATCCTTCAAAGAATAGGTGCTTGTTTCAGTGATGATTTATCATTAAAATTATGTCAAAACATCTTAAAATGTTGTTGAAACTCTAAACAAACTCACAGCACACACAGGGCTAATTATGGATGCCATCTGTTTATTTTTACAAAGCTTTTTTCTTAAAGACCAAAGCATCTACTTGTTCTGATAAGTCACAAGATTACACTAGTGGCTAAATATTTTTCTTAATATTAGTGTACTTGAAGGAAGAAAGACAAGTGATTTGGTCACTGACCTTTTCCTGTGTCACAAAATGTACACAGTGTGACATCTCATGATAGAGAAACCATTGTGAAGTGTGGTTTTTTGAGGTGTTTTAGCCCTTGGAACGCAAACACTTTATAATAAAAGTGTCAGTTCTGTTGTAATTTCAATATGGAAAGTCTAATAGATGTCTCTGTGTGAAGAAGATGCTTTTAGCATGCCTATTTTTTACTTGATCTATATGGTGTGCCCTCCTATCTTTGCTTGCTTTCCTGCTGTATGCTGCCTAGTTAAAGGGTCTTTTTAAAATTAATAAATATATCCATTTAGATCCCCATTTCAAGGAAAAAGAGCGTGTGTCTATGTGCATATGCGCGCACATGTGTGCATGCTCGTACGCACATGCCGGGTTAGCCTGAACGATGGGTATTCCCATGGCAGCATCATCCAAAGCCCTTAGCAGCAATTTGCTGAGAGTGCAGAGTGACTCTGCTGGTCCAGCCCAGCTATTGTGCATGCTAAGCACTAAACAGATAAGTCTGGAGGTGGAAAAAAAAATTGAAGAATCCATCTGCTCATTTCTGCTACACTGCGCTGATGCAAGATTACGCTAATCTGGTTGCTTGTCAGGACAGGTTAGTGAAAGCAGGCGAATGGGTGAGATTTAGGGTAGGCTTGTTCTATAGAAAATTGTAAGTGGGTCCTGTATATGCCATGTGAAGTGTAGCAGAATGGGTTGATTATCAGCTACTTGGAGATTTTCAGTTAAAATATACTTATGGCTACAGTGCAAGTCTTTTAAAAACAAAATTGCATGGGAAAAGCTTCTGAACAAATGAAAATTAACTCATCATCACCAGGTACATTTGAATTTGTAAAATAAATGAAAAAAGAAACCAAAACAAACCCCTACAAACCCCCAAACCCTCCTAAGGTGTTCTGTCTAGTTTTCCTTTTGTATGCTGCCTCTAGTCATTGTAATATCCTAATTATTTTCCGGGATGATCCTGAAAAGGCAGTGTTTGTTGATGTTTGTCAGTTTTTTGGGGAAAGAAGACCAAGATCGGAATGTATTCTTTGTCTGTTCTTTGGCTGATCTAATTTCTTGTTTATCTGTGGTTGTTTATGGAGAGGGATTTTTTTGTTGTTGTTGTTTTTTGTTACCTATTGACTGACAGTTCTTGACCTTGCAGGTTGAACATCCCGTCACAGAATGCATTACCGGCCTGGACTTAGTCCAGGAAATGATCCGTGTTGCTAAGGGTTACCCTCTCAGGCACAAACAGGCTGATATTCCCATCAACGGCTGGGCGGTTGAATGTCGAGTTTATGCTGAGGTAAATGAGTGGTAGCAGGGAGGGAGGTAGGTGGCTGAATTGTGAGTAGTAATACCCGAGTGTGGATAGATGCCAAGGTGAAGTTAAGGAATATCATATGAAAGTCACAATTTAAGAGTATGCAACACAAATGGTTAATGAGATTTTGTAGAATTGTAGAATTTTTTTTTTAATTAAAAATGCAATGTGTATTTCAACATAGCTTTTTCTGAAATCAAAATTAAAAAAAGATAGAAGTCAATTAAGGTTTATTTCTAAGGACATTTACTATATGTTCTGTTCATGTTTAATGCAGTGCTGGAGCTACTTGCTACAGTTAACTACTGTTTCCAGGTTTCTTAACTTGTGCATGTGAAACTTGTTCACTTAAGAAGACAGATAAAATTCAGTGGCTTACAGAATTTTTGTTGTATTAAAACATTTAAATAGGTTGTTGAAAAAGCAAGTTACATATCTTCTGAAACAAGAGTTTATAGGACAAACTTTCAAAGTGCATTGCAAGATAATAGTTTAATAATTATGGTATGACTATCTCATCTTAAAAAAAAACTTACTAAAATGCAGGAGCCATTTTCAAGCATGTTTAGGACATTTCAAGGTAATGTCTTTTTGCTGCCATTTTTGATGCATGAAAACCAAGATTTGTGAATTAAAAATTATGCCTAGCTTCCTTCATTTTGGTTTAGGAATGTTTTAGGTAATAGTATTTTTCAGAAGTAATTCAGCGCCTCTAGATGTCTTTTTTCCGTTCCAACTATTGTGGCTTTTGTGATGAAAGGCATCTTACTTTATGTTGGTTTTGTTCTTCATGCACGTAATCCTCAGTTTGCTATACTGATTACAAGTTATATGGACTGTTCTGATAAATAATAAATATTTGCCCTGTGATTGGCATGGAAGCTATTCTGAGCATGGGTAGCCTTTACTCTGGAGTAACTGATACTTGGACTTTTATTTTCTGTTCAGTTTAGATTCTGCCACATTTGTAAGTGCTGGGTCCAACTACTTTGCCATGAATTTAGTTATTCTGTAGGCCATATATTTATTTGCTGTCCTATGAAGTTTATATTGGCATTGCATTATGTAGAAGATTTCAAAGGCATAAAGCTCAGTTTGGTTTCTTAAGGTAATTGAATTTCTAATTGCTCTTTTTATCTCTAGAATTTTATTCTTTATACTCACTTCTCAACTCCACCCTTCTTCCAAGGCACAAAGTAGCAATTGAAAATGTCATCTTCGTATATTTTGGTGGCGTACTGTAGCTGTGTGCAGAACACTTCTTTTCTGCTTTTTGAGTGTGATTCAAGAGAATTTATATGCTTCCAGCTGTTTATTTGGAGTCACAGGGGTAGGTGGATGAAGAAATGTACTTCAACACAAGTAGTTCTGGGGAAGAAAACAAAGTCATTCCAGCAGTGGTTTCTGTTAGCCATTAAGCTTTTAAGTGTTATTTTCTCTGAGTCTGTAAAAGCTTAACGCTTTCTCATGTTGAATTTTATTTCAGGACCCATACAAATCTTTTGGCCTGCCATCCATTGGTAAACTTTCTCAGTATCAGGAGCCATTGCAAGTGCCAAGTGTAAGTAACTTGGTTCTGGTGTTCATGGGTGCAGAGTGTCTCTTTTATAGATGAAGACTCTAAGTACTTTGCAGCTTTGTAAATCAGGCTTTTTTTTCCAGCTTCTTGCCGGGGGAATGGGACAGGACATGAGAATACTTACTTGTGAAACCTGAAAAACTACTTAAAAATGCACACTTCCAAACTGGGTTTAAAATATTCAGATTTGGTATAACAGGAAACCATTATATGTTGAAATACTTTGTTACATTCTATAACTTTCAGCTTAAGTTTTTCAGACACATGATTTGAAAGTACAGTGAAATGTTGTGTCAGCTCTTTAAGCGCAGAGAACTGGGGACACCAGTGAGAGACTGCCAGTGCTTTCTGTTTAGCTTTGTGGACTTTAAGAGGAAATTTGTTACAGTGATTATTACACATTTCAGGATACAGTCTGACTATATGGAAAAGTTGTTTAACAAACAGTGTTTTCTGCTATGTGTAAAGAACAAGGACACTACCTTTTTGTAAAACCAAAGTAGTCTAAGTCATAAGTACGCATATACATGACACTATGTCAGTTAGTGGAATGATGAGGCTGTACCATCTGTGAATACGATTAGTCAGTCTGATTGCTTGCAGGGAAAATATTGAAAGATTACAGGAGGAATCTCAAATGTGGAGATGTTATTGGATATATGATTTATTTCGCTTCTTAAATTGTTTTTGCCCGTGTACTTTCTGAAGGGACCTGACCCTTTCTGGTCTTTAAGGCTTCATGCTGTGTTCAAAGCCTGAAAGCCGAAAAAAAATTGTGAAGATCTAAAAGACATTATATGATCTTAAAGAGGAGATGAGGGAAAAAGGTATCATTGGATGTATCTAAACTTTTTTTTAATGAAACAAAGAGTGTATTTAATAAGAATTTATAATGAATACTCCAGTGGTTGTTAGAAGTTTTCACCATGTTGTAATAACTAACAGGATGTCAAACATTTTGCCCTTGCAAGTTTTTGCAATTTGCAATTTTCCAAACGTGAGACCTGTTGAAAGTACAAGTGATAATGGACAAACTATACCCCCTACGGTCTTTGTCCCACCAAATCTTTCTTCAATTAATGCTGCAGCAGGAGTTTTATGTAATAACATTTGCGCTTGTGAGCCATCCATAGAAAGAAAAAACAATTAAAATGCTTTAAATGTTCTGCTTACTGCTGTTATTTGCTTGTGTGAATGTTGCATGTCAGCTAAATGGACCACGGAATAGATAAAGTGATTGGGTGCAGGAGAGTGCACACTAAGCTTTGTCTATCATTATTGCTGGGAGCAATCAAATTGATGCCAGCAGGACAGTAGACGCGTTGACAGCTGTAATTATGTATCTCCATGGTGATCACTTTTGGCCTGTCATGGAGGCCCATGAGTCCCCTCCCTTGCAAGCATTTAATCAGACTGGGCTGTCACTTGTCAGGTAGACGGGGTGGGCTGGGAGTTGTGCTTAGGGGGAGAGGTGAATTGAAAATGAAGGGTGGGAGATGCCTGATTGCTTCACGTGGCCCATTGTGGTACCAAAGAAAGAAATTTTAATTACGCTGGAGGCTTCAGAGCAATGGTTTGAGGAGCTCATATGGAGTGTCTAGGCTGTTCTCTTTCTATATACTTCTATTGTCCTATTAAAAATAGAACAGCTATTTTTATGTAGACACTCATGGTTTGGTGTCTTAATACATGTTTTCTGCCACTGTGAAACTAATTTCTCTCCTGAGAATGTTGTGCCGCTAAGAACAAAATTAATATGACTAGAAAAGTTCAGCATTACAGGCCCATTGTGCCATAGTCTTTGTTTTATGCATTTTAGATTTTAGAGATGTCAACAAGTTGGCTTAAAAAACTGTAGTGGAGAATTGTGTGTCACAGTGATTTCGTCTTACAAGCAGTGTGTTGCCCAATGCATTTTCAATTTATTTCCTCTGTGTCTTAAGTTAGGTAGTTAGTCTACCTGTGCCTGTTTGTCAGCTGCTCAAGCCAGTGGAACTGGTGTGCATGGCTATGTGAAGGTTTTTTTCTTAGCCACAGATGGGAATATCCTGGCTATATTTTTGTCATGTAGTCTGTAATTTCCTTAGAACGTGGTACTTGTGAATACCTATTTTTTTTCATCTTTGATAGTGAATTTTAAGATGGGTGGCCACAAGCCCCTGTATTGTGATAATGAGCATTCATGTTCAGTGCTCTTACACAACATAGCAAAGGTACTGCCATATCTGAAGAGCTCCAGCATTGCTCCTTGCCAGTATGATCACCAGTCTGGACTTTTAATGACTCTTACCAGAAAGAGAAAACTTACACTCTGATACAGCAAAGTATTGAGAAAGACTAGAACCTGTATTTGTTGGCAAGTGGAGTTCAATGCGCTAGCAGTTCATTGCAGGACTGTGACATAGATTGTGCTTTTTTTTGCTCTTCAGCTTTTTTATTTTTCCTTTTAATGTTGTCCTGGTGTCATAATATGTAATGGTAGTTACAACAGCAGTAGAAGTGTTTGGGCTGTAATACCAATGAGCTGTAAGGTCCAGTAGGGTCTTGAACCCTTGCTTTCTTTGGTACTTTAAATACTGAGTAAAAGAAAGGAAATATGTTATAGTGAGTATCTGTCTGTTGGATTAGGGTTTCTTTTTCATCCAATATTCATTAAGTTCTCTCACACCATATAGTTTATAAAATCACCTACTGTTACCAGGCTCTGAAAATGTAAGCACCAGAGGGAGAACTGAAGATGGTAAATGTATTTCTTTTCTGCTGTCATTTTTTTAGTCATCTTGATTTTCTTTTAAGAAAATTAAACTTCCACAAAGGGGTCCGGATTTAAAGAGAAAAAAAAAAGGAAATTAAGCAGTAGTTTTAAAAGAATTTTAAATTCTTACTGTAACTTTTTTTCAGTTTTTAGGATATTGTACTTAGAAAAAAGTGTAAATTTAAAGTAGCAAATGTAAATGTATAGTGGTATGTTTGCATGTTGCATATGAACAGAATCATAGAGCATGTAGTCAGTAGCCTCAGAAGCCTTGCCTTAGCATCTGACTAACCTGCTTACTGTGGGTCTGAAGTATGCACCTTTCATGGGCTTTTTATTTTGTCAAAATATGATATACATGTATAAATACATGCACATGTGTGCATAAGTAGAGCATCCCTGAACCCTTGTGTTGAATCACTTTATACATGCTACTTTGGAGGTAAAAGCCAAAGTATAATACAAATATATGCATGGAGTATGTATGTCATACCTTCACATCTTATATATGTATTTATCTACAAAAGATGTCATGTGCAAGGGATTTATCTGGGACTGAGTAGATAAATGAATTCCTTTTGATTTGAATGTGAGAACGTATGTATTGACCTTATACAGAGGCAGATATCCTTGGAAGAAGAATGGTTTAGCAGTTATAAGAAAGAGAGCTGCGAAAGATGCTGCATGTTTTTTCTGTAATCATGTGTCTGAACTACCTTTTTATCAGTAGCTAATGTTAAATGTACCTGATAGGAGTAGTGGGGGGCCTAGTTAAGCATAGGTAAAGCGCATTCAGATAAAATGTGATTAAAAATGCTACAGAATGGCTACTGTCTTTATATATGAGTAAATATGGTGTGCAGATAAATGTAGACACATAATAAATAATAAATATGCAAATATATAAAAATGCAAATATATAAAAATACTCATATATGAATAAGTTTTTTTTTTTAATAAAAAGAATATAATGTCATGGAAACTAGTCAGACAGTGTTTCTTTCTGAAGGAAGTGAGTACACCTGCTAGGGTATCTTTTTATGTCATTTAGATAATAAAGTCATCATCATGCCCTCATGTGGATTCTGTAGACAAGAGGTTCTACGTGTGGTCCCTTGATAATTGCCTAAATTAAAATATTAAAGGCCTAACAGCCGTTGCTTTGACCTTTTTCTGCCTTGCTGCAGACAGATGAGCTGCTGTTTATTACAAAGGTTCCTTCCCACAGGTAAAGATTTAAGTGAGATTCCAGTACCCTCTTTCCCACCTCCTTTACAATGCGGTATATCAGAACCCTGCTGTTTCAACAGCTTTGATTAGAGCCCTCCATCCTTATGAGCCCCAGAATGCGTTTATCATTCTCCAGATATTTTGATTAGTTTTTAAAAAATATTTCAGATTCCAGCGCTTAAAAGCAGCAATTTAATAAATATTTATCCCCCTGAAGTTGCTCATTTGAAAAGTTTTATATGGCTAACCTCATTGCTACAGTGATGAAATCAAACTGAGAGATGAAAACAAGAATCAGCAATATACTAGCTAACTTGTTGGCTGGTTAACAGCAATCAGCCTCTTCAAAAGAAATTTTTGAACTTGTGTTATTTTTTTCCATGAATATTGCAGAATCAGAGCTTTAATTGGGGCTGTGTCCTTACAAAGCAAAGCCATGGGAAAAGCTGTGTAAACATTAAAGCCTCAGGGGAACAGCAGCATTAGAAAAAAAATGTTTTACAGTTGAGAGGGTGAGGCAGAGAAGGAAAGTGTTACAGACATGAAAACCACAGGATCAGTATTCCTATGGAGCTGATAAGCAGAGCTCCAAAGTTCCTGCTGAATGCTCCCTACTTGTATTTCTACTGGAGCTCTTGGAAGGGCTGTAGCAGAGCATGAGGGAAGTGATTACATATAGACGCAGAAAAGATGTGATTATAAGGGGCATCCTTCATGCCAGGTGTCATTCAGAAAAATAATTGCAATTGTATTTTATCACAGGCATTGAATTGGAATTGGCTATGTTCAGAGTTGAAGTTCAGAGTGTGTAACACTAAATTGTTGGATCAGATTTAATCTATTTACTGTACATTCTGGGAGAACTTTTGTTCTCTTTTGAGAATTTTGACTATCAAGTGTAGATTGCGGTTGTGTTTCTTCTAATGGAGAGGGTAACTTGCAAGTGTTTTTCCTGGTGGAGGAAAAAGCTGCCTTTCCCCCTCCAAGCTTCTGTGAAAACAGATAATTATTCTAGCTCTTCAAGGGGAAAAAATGTGTCTGAGAAGCCTCATGGGTGTTATGTTTTAAGCCTGCCGGGTAGATTTGATCCTTATGTTGAAATATTTTTTTTCCAATATATAATTAATTTTCCTTATTTTTTGAAGGTACGTGTTGACAGTGGCGTACAACAAGGAAGCGATATTAGCATTTTTTATGATCCTATGATCTCAAAAGTGAGTTGATGATTGTTTTTTCAATACATGTATGAAACACTAATTTTTTAAATGGATCTTTTAAATGAGGGGTAGTATATTAAAGGATTGGTAAATCAGTATTTTAAAGATGCTAGGGATAACATGCCTCAAGGGAATATGAAAGAAGTGAAGGAAGGTTGTGACTAGAGGAAATTTACTGTCAGTTCTCAACATTTTATTTTTTTTAAATAATCTTTTGACACTGTAACTATCTGTCTTGCAGTATCTGATTATTGAAAAGATTCTGATTTAAACAGGAGCTATTACTTTCAGACTTAGGTGCTGCCCATCTCTCTTGTTTTAATGTAACCTAGCCAGAACTACAATGTCATTAATTCTGGCTTCCAACTGTGTTGGGTAATCCCAGGCATAAATACAGGCTGGGGATAGAATGAATTGAGAGCAGCCCTGAGGAGAAAGACTTGGGGCTGTTTCCTGGAGGAGAAGTTTAGCATGAGCTGGATATGTGTGCTTGCCACCCAGAAAGCCAACCGTATGCTGGGCTGCATCAAAGGGAGCTTGACCAGCAGGTTGATGGAGGTGATCCTGCCCCTCTACTGCACTCTCGTGAGACCCTACGTGCAGTGCTGTATCTGGCTCTGGGCCCCCCAGCACAAGAGGGACATGGACCTGTTGGAGTGAGTGCAGAGGAGGGCCACGAAGATGATCAGAGGGTTGGAGCATCTCTGCTACGGAGGCAGGCTGAGAGAGCTGGGGCTGTTCAGCCTGGAGAAGAGAAGGCTCTGGGGAGACCTTCTAGCAGCCTTCCAGTACCTTAAAGGGGGGCCTACAAGAAATCTGGAGAGGCACTTTTTACAAGGGCAAGTAGTGATAGCACAGCAGGGAACGGCTTTAAGCTGAAAGGGGGTAGATTTAGATTAGCTACTTGGAGGAAATTGTCCAGAGAAGTTGCGGATGTGCCATCCCTGGTGGTATTCAAGGCCAGGCTGGATGGGGCTTTGACTGCCCTCATCTGGTGTAAGGCATCCCTGCCCGTGGCAGGGGGGTTGGAAGTGGATGATCTTTAAAGTCCCTTCCAATCCAACTGATTCTATAGTTCTATGAAAAAGAAGCAGTGAAAGAAATGGCTGATAATGTCTATTAGTCTTAGTTATTATTAATCAGTAACATATTGGTAAAATCAAGATATGACATGGAGTTCAGTTGTCAATAGTCACACTTAAATCTTAGAAGTTGGTTGGTCACTATGAGTGAGGAGAATCAACTAGATATTGAACCGCTGCTCTAATTTTCTGTGTGCCTAAAGATGAAGAGAGAGCTTGTTTAAATGCTCTTATGAAGGAAAAGTGATTTGACTTCTTTCATTGAATGGGTTAAGAGATCTTACTTTTTTTTTTCTTGATGTTTTAGAGTGCCTCTGAAACACAGATACAGTAATGTGCAAGAAATGGTTTTGTGACTGCAAGTTCTGCAAACCATTTTTATTTTAAATGCTATTCAAAATCTAGAGACAAACTATCTCATTTCTGTGTAATTAAACACTTTTTTCCCTTTTTTAGCTGATTACCTATGGCTCTAATAGAGCTGAAGCATTGAAAAGAATGGAAGAGGCTTTGGACAATTACGTAATTCGAGGTAACTATAGAAATTTGGGTTCCTAGTGTGATAGGCTGCCATCTATTTCAAGAAAACAGCTTGAAAATGTAGTAATTAGCAAATTGAGTAAAGTTCCCGCTTCTTAAGTGCAAATTAAACCAGGAAAAGCTTGTGTTAATTAAGCTGAGAAGATACATCAAATCTAAAGAGACTTCATTTTTTTTCTCCATCAATTTTACTTGAATATTATGAGATAAATAATTTAATTATTTCCTTAAACTCATAAAGGGTTTTCACAGAATGGTAGCATTCCTTTATTATGTTGTGGAGGGAAAAAAGGCCACTGCATTGTAAGTAATTTACAATTCTGAAAATAATTGCCATTTTATAGCAATTTAATACATTGATAGTGGACAAATAATACCACAATGCAGTGTTTGGTTATACAGAGGTATTTAAAAGATGTGTTGATGTGGTGCTTATGCTTTTATGGTGACATAGTTTATTGGTGGACTTGACAGTTATAGATTAATGGTTAATTGATGATCTTAAAGGTCTTTCCCAACCTAAACAATTCTGATTACGTGCATATATTTTTCTTACTTTCAAGGTAACTGTTTAGGTTCGGGCAAATTCAGACACAGGCTGATGATCAGAATGTCGTTCAGCTCCTGCTGACTGGCTGCCTAGGAGAAGCGGCTGTTCTTCCAGCCTTTCCAAGCAGCAAGGGTGAATCAGCTGTGACCATTTTAACTTCTTTTAAGTTTTAGAGAGGGAAGTCATGGTCTGCGTGGGTGAAATCTTTAGATCATCCTCTGTGTATTATGGAAAATAGGAAGGACAGCTCTGGATAGGAGAGGGAAAACCTGGATTTCTTAATTCTTTTCATGTAGGTGATTAAAGAAAGGAACTGTAATGTAGCAAAAATCTTTATTTTACCTCTTAACTCTGGGCATTTTGAGGAGTTATTTTTTTTCCTTACTAGGTAGTATACTTGAAGAACCAGGGTAGGTGGGAATGCAACTATTGGAGGATTTTCTTGGTTCTTTGTTCTTTGTTTTGTTTGCTGGACAGGTTGTTCCATGGTCTCAGATGGGAGAAAGACTTGGAACACTTACTTAATTCCTCCCTTGAATGGATAGGAGAAGGGGCAGGAGAGACATCATATAGTAGACAATCATATGAGTGTTTCTGTAAAACTTGGTTTGGCTTTAGTGATGTCTGCTGAATTCTACAGATGCCATGTCAGACTTGAAAGATTTGTTTAGGGGAAAATGAGCATCCCTCTACCACAGTGTAGCTAGACAGGTGGTAGGATTAGCCACTGTAAATAACTTGCTAACTCTGAAGTGGATGTATACTGGTGCAACTCAAGCCACTAGACTACTGCAGTACAATGTGCTGATATAAACCCCTGCTGTATAACATCAGAGTAAATTTATATGAGAGGAATTTATATTGCTATAGCTAGACTGATGTGATGTAGGATTTGTTGGGCATTTTATTTATTTTTTTTTTAATGGAGACAGTCTCTGGACTGAAAATGATGCTGGAAGGATTGTGTTTAATGAGGACACTGGAATTATGTGTGGAGCATTATCTTTTATTTTGCATCTATAATATGAGAGGAATCTGATCATTTGTTTTTAGGTGTTTTACACAGATATATATGGATCTAATAACAATTAAACAGATCCATAAATGCCTACCAGGTATATAACACCTCACATCTGAAACCTAGTGAGTTGCAGTCTTGATTTTTTTACAGTTTTTTATTAGTTTGCATGTATGCATTTTAGTGTTCATACCTGATACATCTGTAGTACGTCTACCTGTTAAAAAGCTCCCCATCCATGAAAAGCATTAAAAGAGGTAACAAATGAACTACAGGAAGAAATAGATTTTTCTTTTTTTAAAGTATTTCAGAGGGCAATTTTTAATTTACCACAGGTTTCAAAAGTAGATGAATTTCCAGAACATATTTTTAGTTGTGGATGCCAGTGGTTTCCATTTGAAAACAAACAGGATTTTTTGTTTAGTTTTATACAGCTCATAGTTTCTTCTCAGGGTTTATTTCAAATGGAATATCCATGGATATTGAAGTATCCCTTCTTTTGCCTAGTGTGAACAATACTTGATAGGGTTTTTTTGTAGAAACCGTTCTCTCTATAATGTTCCAAACTGCATTGATACATGTAAAACTTCTCCTTGTTCAGAGGAATTATCTCTATCCAAGTAAGCTTAACTGGTGATAAAGAAGTGATATATTGGTATCTAAATGAACAAAAATAATAAGATATCAGGAAAATCAAAGAAATTTAATGCAGTTTCTTCGTAAAACAATTGTGTATATTTGCTTTAAAATGTTAGGCACTATGTAGAACAGTAAAACCACCATGACCTTATGTGAAAGTGCATCACATGAAGTCTTCTCTATAACTGAGTTATCAGTAGTAAAAGATACAGAATAGCTTTTACCTAGTTTTGTAGTTACTTGTTTTTATATTTGAATAGAGAACCTGTACATAACTATTTAGAGATCACCATAGTGTTCCTGCATAGTGTGCTCCGTATTCCTATTTCTGAACACGGTTGTCGCCCTCCTCCCACTTTCCACGGAAGCAGCTTTTTTATGTTTGCTTTGTGGTTTAGAGACAGCATGTTTTCCCCTGTAAAGAGCAAGTCTTTTCTGTGTTGCAAAGCATTTTAGCTAAGCAATACCAGTTGAATTCAGTGTCAGTTATACTGACAGTATACACTGTGAGAATTTAGATTTACGTTGCCAAGAATTGCAGCATTTCTGTAAACAAAAATGCTCCTTCACTCACATAGGGTGGGAATGGGATGGGGTGACTGGGTAACAGGTCAAGGACCATCTAATGGGTAGCTTAGGGACTGCTAATGGAAGATGGAGTCTTTCCCATCACTTCTGTGTCACCAGTTCAAAGCAGGCAAAAGTTGGTAAGGACTTTTAGTCACTAATATTTTGATGGTTGCTTGCTGACCTGCGTGAAATCAGTGGTCTTTATCCAGTTCCTAGAAGACAAATGTCCTCTTGGAACAAATGCCAGCATATAATGTCATTCATGGCAGTCCCAGCAGAGACTCCAGGGACTGAAGAGGCTCATGGACCCTCCAGGAGGTGAGTCATCCAGGCTACGCTGAAGCATGCTGACAGCATGAAGTGCAAGGACTTAGTCTGCTGCTCCTTGTCTACTGGCTGTATAAACTGACATTAGATTTCTGCTGCTGTGCCTTTAGGATATCCAAGAGCTACCCCATACCCTTTCAGCTCCATTCCACTTACAGGGAATGTCCTCAGGCTACTGTCTATTGAATTGTTTTGTAGGACCAGATAGAACCTAGCCTTGAATCTGTGATTCAGCTGTCCCTAACAATTAAATCTGCCTGACGTCACAAAGAAAACTAAATTAATTAAAAAATCCCCAAAACCTGATATTTGCAAAGAAAGCAGATTTATGTGAAATTAGAGTAAATATTTTAGGCAACCATTACTGCATCTTATAGTGTCTGTAGTAGCAGTAACTTAATTATAAATGATGGGTAAATTCAGTTGTGATATTTGCATCAGTGCTATGCTCTGGAAATACCTATTGCCTTAATCCATTATTACAATTTGGGCTGATGACAACTTGCACACACTTGAAATAAGAAATTCTACAATCTGTTGATAGATGCCAACAATATGACTAACTGAAGACACATTCATTGTGGTCATGAGAATGAAATCTGCATCTTATTTCCTGTGTAGTATCTCCACCGTTATTAATGGGAGCAGATGAAAGTCTAGGATAGTGCTTCTTTGAGTGGTGGATTGGATTAAATGATCTCTTGAGGTCCTTTACAGTCTAAATTACTCTGATAGGAACTGGCTCCTTCATTACGAACTGATCTGAATTAAAAATCTCAGTTGAGACTTCTGAATGAGGAAAACTCTAGTTAGGCAACATTTTTATGCATGGGTCTTCCAGTGTAGTTTAAGGATGATTAATGTTCAGGGTCTAACCTAGATTTGTCTAAGCAGATACATGTTTAGTTTTATCCAGTGGTTACCGGAGAATTTGTCAATACTGAAAAGTTCAAGACTTTGGTCAAGCATAGAGGCACTGTTACTCACTGGGATGAGGCATGAATTATTTCCTGTGAGCATGCACTATTGTCCATAGTTCATTTTTCCTTTGTTTTATGCCACTTTTCTTCAGAAACTTAAGGTTTTGGGTTTTCTGTTTAGTTTGAACAAGAGAAATCGGATATTGAAAGAACACCTTTCAGTTTGTCTACTTCATGTGTAAACATGACATGGTGTGATTTTATTTTTCTCAGTTTCTCTAAGATTTTAGCATGTATTTGTAATCTAGTTTGTGCTGCTGGATAATCTGTTCATTTAAAGGCATGTAGAAAACCTAATTCTGGAAAGGGATGTATGAAGATTTATTTAAGTAAAAGAAATGGACATATTTATGGAGCAAGTAGGACTTAGTTCACCAGAGGTCTGATTGGGCAGATAGCTCATATCCTTGAGTGCAGAGATTCCTGTAATCTTTCCTTTGACCTCTGCTTTTTATCTTCCCTACTGATTCAAATATAAAACAGTAACATGAAATTAACAGTCTTTGTGTAAAGTCATCTGTTCTCTGTTGAGATCCCACTTGCTGTGGGGAGAGAGGAATGTAGTGGACTATTTGGGAGAAAGAAGAGTGGGAATAGGAGCATCTGAGGAAAGAGTAAGCAGCAAATAGAGCAGGAAGGAGTAGAAATGAGGTGGAAAGGAGGGAGCCGCCAACTGTTGTGGTGAGAATCTTCCAGCATGAGGTAAAAGAGCAAGCATGGAATAGAAAACAGAAAAGTGATGAATAAGTGGTGAATGTTTGAGGGAAAAGGGAATGCAGAAATTAACAATATGAATGGAGACCTGTCAGAAGTGTGGCAGTAGAACCTGTTGTCATGAGTTTTTGCAACTGTAAGCACACTAATTGAGAGAAAAAACACTGCGAGGCTTAGTGTTGTGGAGAAGGCCT